CCTAATCCACTGTTTGATTTATCGTTTTATTCCTGGAATCATCCCACATTGGACTCACCATTGAAGCTCGACTTTTTGCTTACTTCCAGAACTAGTCAGTTTCTTAGAACATGACCAGTCCATTTCTTCGATGGAAGTTCGAAAGAACCTGTTCTGATCCATCTCATAGATATTGGTTCCCTTTACTTGCTTCCAGGAGTTTGATGTCCATTTACGCACTTCCGATAATGTCGCCATTTCTGAGGTCCCTTCTGGAAAGATTCCCACCAAGCACCTGCCTAGCAATCCGTTGTGTGTTTGTTCTCCAGTTATACGAATTATGTCCCCTTCTTGTTGGGTTTCTGCTGCATTCATTTCTCTGTTTGCCCATTTATGGTTTCTGACAGTGTTTGAATACAGGAGACCTTCTTCAACCACCTTAGGAGCATTATAGACATTCCTTCGTGCCCCACTATTAATGAACCTTTCTATTTTGATTGCAATATCCATCCAACCCGAATTGAATGTCACCTCTGGGACAATAATGACTGATCTTCCTCTGCCTTGGACCCTGATGATGGTTATATAGCGACCAAACCTGTTATAGTTCCTTGCACAGAAAGTCTCTGAAAATTGGTCTTTGCTCTTCCATCTTTTCACATAGTTCCCCTTCACCCTTGAGGCTTCCTTGAGATTATCACATAGCCACATCATCATCTTCCTGCTGAAGGTAGTCCTTCTGATTAGGTTCCTTCCTCTTTCTGTCCACTCGAACCATTCTTCAGCACTGGATGTGTATCTCTCTATTTCATAAGATTTGAAGCCTACTGCAAAGTATATGATGTTCTCCTTCATTGCAAGCAATTCTTACTAGACTCGATGAACACAAGGACAATAACTAACTAATTTTTAACGAAAAGAAGAGGATTTTTAGTCAGTAATCACAGAAGGTGATCACTGGGGGGTATGAAAGAATGAAATTCCGGCAGGAGCCACCGGAAAGAGATCTCTACAGTCCTAGGAAGTAGGAAAGAGAGTGTCCTTGGGATCAGCGCCTGAGAGCATTGTGAATTATAGATCCACTTCAATAGGTAGGAGAGCATTCCAACTGCTTCTTATAAGTCGTCTCCTCCAAAAATGAGGCAGGATCAATCTTAGACATGGCTTGTAGCACAAAATAAACTTCTAAATGTTTAACCACCCCCTCTGCATCATGTATCAATTGAACTTACAGCCTAAGTAAGACGTTTGGACAAAGCAAACGATGAGGAATGCCACCTCAAACCGCTCCAACAGTTATTTGTTCCTCCATCAAGAGAATAACTCAAGAGTTTACAAGCCATTTTGATATATAACAAGTATCAAAGGGATGACAGGATGGAGATAGTCTGAATTTTAGGAGGTTGAGGATTAAAGTTGCCAATATTCTTGGAAGCTTTATTCCTTATCAGGTCTGTATTGTAAATTATGGTGAAGTGGTGCTTTGAAAGCCAAACGTTACTTAGGAAACCAATCACTTCACCTATTAAAATTTATTCCCAGAACTCATTGTCTTGAATAATTCATGTATATTTACAGTTTCTGCTCTGCTCAGATTTCTAGTAGTTAGCATTTAATATTTGATGTGTGTTTTCCATTACTCATTTATCTCCAATAGTTGGTATGATGCTATACATGCCTATGCCAATGCAGAAGACCCATCATTGGTCAAAGAGTCAAAACCAAATCAACATTTAACTTTTTGCGACGAGAAAACATCTAGTACAACTAATTCGGTGGTGCTTATATATACTAGCTAAAAGAATGATAGAACATTTTAAAGTATCAATTTTTGTTAAAGAAATGGTTAAGTGGTCAACTCAAAAATGAAGGGAATAAAAGACAAGGAAAAGTAGTTCCCCTATTCTCTCTTTTCCCCGGGATGACTTGGCAGATGCTTTGCAGCAACAATGAGGATTGTTATATCAGCTTTTACTCTATAAGTGCCTTCATCTCTTTTTGTACTAGATGAATTTCTAAACTTTGCAATTTTTACTTTAACATTATTCGGTGGAAATCTTCACATCTATAAGTATTTTTTATTAGCTGCTTGTTATTCATTTTAGACATTTGTTTCACTAGAAATGTAGACTTGACAGTGATCTTAATCTTTTTTCTTTTTTGGGATAACCGTAGTGTTCCGGCCAGATTGTGCGCACCTCAACTAATTCCATAGTTTACCTGCTACCTCCTACCAGGTACCGGGTAACTCTGTCACCAAGGCTTGGACATATGGGAAGAAATCACCTAGTGTTTTTGCCTCTGCTAGGATTTGAACATAAGACCTCATGGTTCTCAACCCACTTCATTGACCACTAGGCCACATAGAGAAGTTATCATTCAAACGGTGAAGTATAAAATGTTAAATTTTTTCTCTAAGATCTAAATCTTGTTTTCTGTGCAACGGAGAAGATAGAGCACGAGTCCACAGATAGTGAAAATATTTCTGATGAAAGATAACCATAGAACATTATCTCATTTGATATGTGTTCTTTAGTATTTTCATGGAATGTGACTAATCAAGGAATGGAAAACACGGAGTGTGTAGAGCAGAAGCTGGAGAGAGCACTTCGACTGTGAAAATAAAGACATCATTCTTGTAACAAGAACTTTCTCTTTGTATTTGCATATTAGTCCCAAATGCCCCAATTAAAAGGCTTCCAACACAAACAAAAGCTTCTGATAACATTTGCATGTCCTTTCCTTCAATTCTCTCATCATCTATACTAAGAGAACTCCAGCATAGATGTGAATGCACAGCATAAAAAGGTATCTAAAAGCAATGGGAAATCACAACCTGGTTTCTCAAGGAAAATGTAGAACGCCGGGATTAAAAAAAATATGATAGTTAACAAAAGATTTAACTCTTTTAGAATTACCTGGCGCCTATTATGCAAGAAACCAGGGCAATGATACTGGATCTTGCTGCCGATAGAATCTGCAGCCTGTAGAAGGGCTGTTTTTTGCTTGGTGAAAGTAAATTCTTGCTTTCTTCGCTTTCCTTTTTTCAAAGATTCTTTTAACGGAGGTTGCCTGTAGACCTTTTCACACACATTTTTTGGGTGCAGCCTTTTGCACCAATACTCCTGAGAACAGAAAGAAGGAAAAGGGAAGAATTAAGAAAGAAGCATAAGAACACAAAGTCAGTGGAAATAAATCACTTTTAAGATAAGGAATTCACTGCCAACAAATGCACTTATCAGGTGACAGTTCACTTCATAGAGGTATTTACCACTTTAGACCCCCAAGATAAGACTGTTAACGTGAATGCATACAAATGCCAAATAATAGTGAATGAGCATGTTAAATGATATGGAGAAACATACTACTGCTTTTAGAGAGTTGTACTTTAACAAAAATTCAGGGAAGCTTAGAATTCAATTCTAATCTAATCAGTATGGCCTTATTTCTATCAACTTCCTTCATTCTCCCGGTTCTCTGCACACCTTCAAAGTTCTATGCAATTCCCACCAGATAGTACTTTTTGCTATATCATAAAGCTGCTCTCAGATCGAGGTGGTCAACTTGCTACCAGAATGTTTCCTTCTTCTTTTTTTCTAATGAGCGATGCTATCAAAATATATCCTCAGGCTCTTCAAATAGATTAACTAAGCATTATATTCTCTTTTTAGGCATTACCTTGAAGAGCGGATCAATATCTCCATCAATATCAAACCAACAAAATTCACTGGTGATCTTTGACGCTGAGTATAATGCAATTTCTTTCTGCAAAAGAAAAATATTGAAAAGTAGAACATAAGCTATTCAAACAGAAACATAAAATGGAGAAATAGTTACAGAGATAGAGAGATCAATTGGTGACTCTTGATAATGGCGAGGAGGTCTCGGCATCTACAAAAGGAGGTTATTTGCAAGAGAGTGAGGAAGGAGAAGAGGAGCACAAAACTAGGATGAAAAGAGTTGGCACATGATTATTAAATGGTAAGGGTAGAAAATGCGGATTTTACCGTATATATTATACTAAAGTGAGAAAAACAGCAGCCAAATTAACTAGGTTCACAAGCTAGTATCTGTCAGCTTGAGCTTTTGGTAGGGACATTTATGCTAGGTTTGAACTTGCTAGCAGCCAAAAAACTCAATCATAATCAAGCTTAAACCAAGCCGTGCTTGGCTTTTTCACCTGCACCCTCATCTCTTGCTTCAACGTCCAACAGTGGCTTAAGGGAACAAAATAGCAGTCAGAACTCTGAAACTTTGCTACTGTCTGACCAGTATGAGGGTAAATATAACATTGCTAAATATTCTTACTACTAACTGAAGTAAGTGTAATATTGCAACTACTAAAATGGCTAACTAACCCAAAAGACAAATCTTAAATTTGAGGTCTGCCTCGTCCAATTGATTTTTATTCCAGCAAGGTAACATCTAGACAGTTATGAAGATGCCAATACTTAAAAAGCAAAAAGAAATTAGTGCAACAGGCATAAGAATGAACCAGCTTGATGGCGGAAGTCTGGCATACCAAAAGTTATTACCTGATAGAACGCCAAGCATTGAAGCACAAACTTTTCCATAGAATCTAATTCAAGATCTAAAGCAGCATCATAGTCCTTGACCTACAGCACAAAATCAGAATCAACAATCTGAAAATGGAGACAACAAACACCTTATATAATTATGAACATTTAAAGTCACAAGAGATGAGTTTGAGAGCTCTCATACTGCTTCTTTATATTCTCCAATAGCATGATAGCATGAAGCTCGTAGATACAAACATTCAACGTTTGCACTATCAATAGCCAACCCCACTGATAAATCTTTTATAGCATTCCTGTAACAGTATATATAAGCAGTTAACCCCTGCTACATCTTTCAGTGAAAGAGGATTATGATAAAGCAAACATGGAAAAAAGGTAAAAAGAAAACACAGGACAGTGAAAATTTTCAGAAGGAAAATCCCACAAATGAATACCATAGCGATTGCATATCTACTGCCTTTAGTATATAAGAACATAAGATATGTACCTATGCTCTCCCATTCCATGAAGTAGCAGCCCACGCAGGTGATATCCTTTTGCATACCTTTCAGCGAAAAAGGATAATTAGAGGATGGTCTCAGCTATTTCCCAATATAAGGACAGAGTATGTACTTCACCGTTCAAATACTCAAGATCAGATAACAAAAAATAAGTAAACCCTTTTTTGATCAGTGAAAAATATGTAAATATCAACATGAGATGCTCGGTAATTACCTCCCATCTATTTGCAAAAGCTGATGAAGGCATTCCAAGGCCTTCTCTGAATTTGCCAGGTCTTGATATAACTGCCACCAGGAAATAAAGGTTCAATTATACACCATTAGAATAATATCTTGAAAGAAATTTCATTGTTTTGCCCACATCTAAATTAAGTGATTTAGCTCAAAACCAATCAGAACTAGTTCAGAGCAACTCCAGAATCCTCGAAATTTCTAACTTAGGGGAATAGGACTTCTGTAAACAACTAATTTAACAGTTAAACAAACAATATCAATAATATCTACCAGCTAATGGGGAGATCCTACTTGAAAATGCAACAAAAGCTATTACAATAAACGAGCATTACAACCCAGAAGTTGAACAAAAGGCTAATTGATCAACATCTAGCAGACATTTTCGCCAATCAGGACTGTAAGTTAGCGCTGTCACACAATATCTATAAGAGAGCAAGGCTCTTCTATCACTTGTACGCAATTGAATGTCTGCTTACCGTGCAAATCTTGATTCTTGAATTTCTTAACATACATGGAGAAGTTTATATTACCTCAACCTTCAGGTTTACAGACAGATGAAAAAAAGCTATATAAACAAGAAAGCGGGAAAACAAAAGGGAACTTCCTCATCTTGTTTTAATCCATGATTAAACAAGGACAAACTTCCTCAAACTTTCTACTTCGGTTCCAACTAAAACTGCTCCCATAATATCCCGTACAAGTTTCTGTATTTTCCACTGATTTGAAGAAGTTTCCAAAGAAGTGAAGTCAATTCTAATTGCTCGCCTTGGTATACTTTTGCAAACACAAATTCAAATTTGACCAGCATCGAGCTTATAACAGCTTATTGGCGGCAGCAAGTATTTATTGTACCAAACAAAACAAAGGGAAATCGAAAAATAATTTAAAAAATAAAGAAAAGAACAGAAACAATGAGATCAATGACCAGAGTCATGCACATCTGAAAAAAAAAATACTAGTAGAAATGAAAATTGTGCTTTGAAAAAATAAATGATATAAACTGCACCAAAGCACGTACACACAGTTGAAATTTGTAAATAAAAAAACACACAAACACATTATTCTAGGGCTTGCGAACCCATCAAGAGACTATATCATTAGCAGTACCAATAGAAGTATTAGGATTCCACTTGGCAGGAAAATAGGATTAAAAGTATTCAGTATATATTCATAGATACCTGTGCTAGATGAGCCCAAGCCTCAAGGAAATTCCTTTCAATTTGGATTGCTTTCTTATGTGCCTCCTCAGCCCTTCTATATTCTCCTAGAGAGGATAAGGCCAAGCCCTGATAATTTTCCAGTTTTTCCCCACCAGCATTATATCATTATTTGTCCAACAAAAATATTTTCAAACTCATGCTGATAAACATGGTTATCAAATTCTACAACAATTAGCCGAACTCAAGGTCATAGACTCACCAAATATGTATATGCAGATTTGTTATCCTTATCAAACTTTACACATCTAGAAAGGTCTTCAACAGCAGCTTTGAAATCTTTAAACTTAAAATTGACAATTCCTGCACTAATTAAGGTCAGTTAGTGCTTGCCATGTTAGATTGAACGGAGATAAGTCGAATGAAATGGTCCTTTTCGAAATCTCAAGTAATTATGAAACAGTCAGCCAGAGGTCATCCGATGCTAAACAGTTACAAGATGAAACCACCTATGGGCCTTAATAAAAAATTTCAGTCCCGTAAGAAAGATGAGGCTGAGCCTTAATACATTGGAAGTTTCAAATGACACATGCATAATCTATCAGCCATAAAAAGAATATTACAGAAAGTAAATATGCCTTGAATGCTGTTATATTTACAGGAACATCATGTCTAACTACTTTAACAGCACAGATCTATCTTTCATAAATGGAAAAGTTCAGTCCCGGTAAATCACCTCTTTCATGTAAGATATCGGCAGAGTCTGGCTCAAACTCCAAAGCTTTAGTCAAGTCTGCAATTGCCTGGTAAAAATCATTTTATTTAGATACACCAATATCAATCATATTACTATTATTGTGAAACCAAACCTTTTAGGGCGTGATAAGTCTTTAACCATAACTACCATCACTCTTCATGGGATCATTGGAGGAAAAAAAAACTAAAATGAAACACATCAGAAAGTTAAAATATGTTATAGACTATCAAGAAACTCCCATGATCAAAAGCATGCAGCTGAACCATTCTATGATCCTGCTTGCATTTTAGATATTGACTTTTACTGGAAGATGGTCATAAGCTGTGATATAGCTCAAGCCTAGAAAAGACACTCTCAGGATAGACGACCTTCACATCAAAAGTTAAGCTTTTTCAAGAAAACTTTTGAAGGTTACACCTGAAGCCATTTCATCTCCATCGTTAACCCTGTAAGCTACCACAATCTGAAGGAAAATTTCCAAGTGCAGCTTGATAATGGTCCTAGCGGTCTAAATGGAGACTGATTTGCTATTAATGAACAATTAGCTTCAGAAATTGATAGCACAAGTGATCAATTCAGCAATTCCACACATTTACACTGTGTATCACACCCACAGGAGAAATGAATGAAAGTTGACCTTGCAAAAAAAATTACAGAAAAGAATACCTGATGACAAAACCCAAAAGGCAGCTCAATAAATACAAAATATGAGGCTCATACCTCAGCAGATTCACCTAAAGCAGCACGGGCTTGCCCTCTGCGTTTCCATGCCTCCCCAGCAGATGGATTTGATTGTATAGCCTGAAAGGCAGATAGAAAATATTTACAACAGGAGTTGAAGTATTACAATAACTGGTACTTAATATGCCAAATCAATGAAACCTTTGTAAAATCAGCAATAGCTGCATCAAGTTCTCTTTGAAATGCCAATGCTGTTCCCCTGCCGATAAGTGCCTCCGGGTATGTCGGATCTTCTTCTAGTATCTGTGTTTTAGGTAGAAGAGAAGAAGCTCTGTAATTAAGTTCATCATACCACACACAAGTCTTCCGTTGAATCCATAAATCAAAAATGAAAAAGTCACAATAAAGCACAAGTTACATCTAGCAGCAAAATTAGTAAACTACTAAGAGCGGTAAGGCTAATGCTCACCTGGTCAAAGATGGACACGGCATTACCATATCTTCCTTCGTTAACCTGAAATCACCAGAAATGTTGTTTTAGACTTCCAATGACATTCAATACACGATGAAGAGTACACAATTACCCCTACTTCGCCTCAGTCCCAAGCAAGTAGGGGTCGGCTAGATGGATCCTCAGTGACAAATAATAAAAGCTTTAGAAATTAAAATCTAGCAACTGAAAAATAGGAGTTCTAAAAATAGAGCTTTGTTGCCTCAAGCTTGAACAAATGCAATATCTTCCAATTTAGTTCACAAAAAATTAAAAGTGGAGTGTAATCAGCAAATTACAACTGAAATAGGCAAAGTGAACATAACAGACATGAAGAATGCAGTAGAAAATCTTGTCTATGCATAGCATGGTACCCCCAGTTCCTAGCAGATAGCAGAATAAGAAGAAAAAAAATTCTACTGTCCGACCTACTTAATTTGGTACAAAATAAGTGCACAATTAGAGACTTGCAGTTGATTTATCATTATTCGAATTTCAATAAAGAAGAATAGCATATTAATAACCAACTGCACTAACAGAAATTATCAATCGATGAACTAATTAGTGCTGTCTTCATTTTAATATCACAAGATAGGCAGTGTACCTGTGCTATTCCCCTTGATAATCGAAAATCAACATTAATTGACTTGGTCTTGTTAATCCTGGTAACACAGAATTTTTTGTTTCTCTTGCCTTCTTCAGTCAATTCAAGGCGAACGTCGCATTTATTATTCAACTGACTGAGAATTTCCTGTAACTCATTTGGTTCTGACTGTTCACTTGATTCACTAGTTACAGCAGATGATTTCCTACTGTCTTCAGATATATCACTTAATTCACTGCATACCAGAGATGGATAACCCAACTTTTTGCAATTGTTCTTGGTTCCATTTGCTTGTCTCTCATGCAATCCATTTGGTTGACGGCCACTCTTCTTATGTTTTTTGGCATTATTACTTGAGGAATTTTGTAAAACAGAACTATCATTTGATTTCTCACAGCTGACCAACATCCCGCTGCTGCATTCTTTGAGCTTTCTATCTGAGGCCTTACTAATATCACAAGTTTCAGCAGATTTGGTAGAAAGCAGAGGCCCAGTATTGGATTCAGGACCAGATGACTCCACAGAATGATTGTTGGTGGCAGCAGTGATATTCTGCTTCGCATTTTTGAGCAGCTCTTCAAGCTCTAATAGTTGCTTTAAGTCTGCAGACTGATGAACCGCATGTTCATGCCCTTGCTCCCAAATTAGAAGAGCTTCTTCTTTCTTACCAAGAGCAGATAATGCACATCCTAAATGACAAGTAACTTCGTCACATTATACTTCAAACTCAAAATCAGTTTAGCATATAACTGCCAGTTTTTTCAAGCTTTAAGAACATCGAAATTTCTGCAGCATATGCTAGAACCACATCTAGGGAAAATCCACAGAAGTCACACTAGAGAATAATTGTCAATACAGATTCTTATATTGTTATATAGCTTCATTTCGAGGGCTTAGTTACACACAAGAGACAAAAATGTAGTTGATCTTTTACGTGACCTAACAGTAAGAGCTGCTGCTGTGATACTAGGTGTCACATCTTTATGCCGTGGAAACGGCCTTTTATTGAAAGTGAAGGTAAGCAGGCTGCTTACAATAAACACAATGTGGTTCCACCCCTCCCTGGACCCCGTGCATAGCAGGCTGCCCTTTTTATGCATGCCAAGAATGATGCTCCTCTTAGAATTCAACCATCTGCCTCTGAATGCATGAATCTTGAGACACTAAGCAGGGGCCAATGCACGCTTACCGAAGTGTGTCACGCGACACCGCTTCGTCGAAATTTTTTACTGAATATATGTATTAATATTGTACAGAAACGGATAAGTAGGAAAAAATGACACCACTTGACATAAATTGTGTCTTGATGTGTTGGTTATGAGCTTGATTTTGCTCTAAGAGGCAGTGTTCAAAAAAGCGCTCGCTTTCTCGCTTTAAGCGAGAAGCGAAGCGAAGCGTAGGGTCAAGCGCTTCCAGTACCAAAAGCGACGCAGGTGTTCAAAAGCGATCGCTACTACCCTAAAAGCGTGAAGCGGGCGAAGCGACAGAAACGGAAGAAGCGGTCGCTTCTGTTTTTGTCATTCTTCAGCAGCAACGTGAACTAGGGTTTTGAAGCAGCCCTTTCTTCCTCAAAAAACCAACAAGTCTTTCTTCTTCTTCTTCAACATGACAACAAACTAGGGTTTTTCTTCTTCTTCTTCAACATTACAACAAGTCAACAATAGATTTCAAGTTTCAACAGGTATGTTTTTATTTTCATTCATTCTTCTTCTTCTTCTTCTAATCTTTTTCTTCTTTTTCTTTCTAAACGTCCAAAAAGCGCCGAAATGCTGGCGAATTTTTTCCAGAAAATTTGCCCAGATTTTCTGCCCCGTTTCTGCCCAAAATCTGCCCAGAATCTGCCCAGAATTCTGCCCAAATTTCTGCCAAATTATATATTTTTTATTCTTAGTTCTTATTGCCTTTCTTATGTGTTATGTAGTTGATATTTTAATGGCGCCAAAAGAAGATAGGAAAGACCCGGCTTGGGCTTACTCGGCAAGAGCTAGCGAGACCAACAAGATGGCCATTAGATGTCTTTTTTGTGATAAGATTACAAATGGAGGAATCTATCGTCAAAAAGCGCATCTAATCGGTGGTGATCCAAATGTCGCATCTTGTCCTAAAGTTCCGGGTCATGTGAAGGAAGAATTGAAAGCATACCTTCAAAAAAAAGAAAGAGTTAAAGACTCAAACGATTCATGAACAAGAACTTTATAATCTTGATGATGATGATGAAACAGAAGAAGGTGACGATGCTTCGTCGCTTCCACCAAAATCACAAAAGCGGGGAAGGATGCTTCCACCAATGTCTTCTAGTTGTGGATCTACTGGCAAGACCAAAGGTCCTATGGATTGTTACTTCCTGCAAAAATCTGGAGATAAGGGAGGAAAAAGTGGTAATCCTCAAGTTGATGCAAAAGCGATTTTGAGGGACCGTGCAGTAACCTTTTTTGCCCGATGGATGTATGATGCAGGTCTTCCTTTTAATTGTGTTAATTATACTGACACTTTTGCTGCTTTTATTGAGGCCGTAGGCCAACATGGCCCAGGAATGAAGCCTCCAACTTATTATGAAGTTAGTGGGCCATATCTACAAAAAGAGGTGGCAGAGGTGAACAAAATCGTTGAGGAGCACAAAGTAGAATGGGACAAGTTTGGTTGTTCTATTATGATGGATAAGTGGACAGCGAAAAATGGAAAAATGATCATCAATATCTTGGTGAATTCTCCTAGGGGAAGCCTGTTTCTTGAGTCTGTTGATGCAAGCGACTCTTCGACTGATTCAACCAAAATGTACTCCTTGTTCAAGAGTACAATAGACTCTATTGGAGCAGAAAATGTTGTTCAAGTTGTCACGGACAACGCCAGTGAAAATGTTAAAGCTGGTGATTTGATGTCTGCTGCGTACCCGCATATCTATTGGACTCCGTGTGCAGCACATTCTGTTAATTTGATCTTTGGTGATATTTTCAAGGAAAGACCCTTCAGTACTGTCTTTAATCAGGCAGTTAGGGTGCATTCCTATATTGTTCAAAGGCCTTTATTATTGAACATGATGAAGAGATTCACTAAACAAAGAAGCTTGGTGAAACCTGCAAAGACAAGATTTGCTACTGCTTTCTTGACTTTGGCTAGGATGTATGAGCAAAAAGGCAATTTGAAGAAGTTGTTTGTTTCAGATGAGTACACTAGCAGTGCCTATGGAAGGGAAGCTTGAGGGAGAGAATCTGCAGATATTATACTTTCTACTTCATTCTAGAACAATGTGGTTCATGCATTGAAGATTGGTGGTCCTTTAGTTAAAGTGCTTCGTTTGGTGGATGGGGAGCAAAGGCCACCAATGGGCTACTTGTACGAAGCAATTGATAGGGCAAAGGAGGCTATTCAAGACTCTTTTAGTGACCAAAGAAAATACAAAAGAGTCTTTGAGATCATAGATAAAAGGTGGGATAGTAAGCTTCATAGCCCTTTGCATGCAGCTGGACTTGTTTTGAACCCGGAACTGTTTTATGCCAATGAAGAGAGGATTCTAGGAGATGAACCTTTGTGGAGTGGGTACTATGAATGCATTGAGAAGTTGATACCTGAAGAATCCGTGCAAGATAAAACCACAGAGCAATTTAGTATTTATAGGAATGCTGAAAACCTTTTTGGAAAAAACATGGTCATTAGACAAAGAACGACAAAGTCACCAGGTGAGTGAGTGCTTATATGTTGTTTTATAGTTAATAAGTTATTTCTTTATTAATATTATGTTTTGAAAATTTTTTCTACTTCTACAGTTGAATGGTGGAAGCAATTTGGTCATTCCACTCCAGATTTACAAAAGTTTGCGATCAAGGTTCTAAGTCTAACATGTAGCTCATCCGGGTGTGAAAGGAATTGGAGCGTGTTTGAGCATGTAAGAACTAATAAGAAAGATTTAGTATATTGAGATAATTAAATTATATCTCAATTGTCCTAATCTTACTAATTACTTATTATTTGCAGATTCATACCAAAATGAGGAACAAACTAACCTTGAAGCGTCTCAATGATCTAGTCTTCATTAAGTACAATAGAACATTGAGGCGTCGTTACAACGCTCGCAATGTAATTGATCCAATTAGTTTGGACAACATCGATGATGCTAATGAATGGCTAACTGGAGTCCCGGAAGATCATGCAGATGAAGTAGTATTTGATGATACTTCTGGTGTCACTTGGGGTGATGTTGCGGAGGCGCGTGGAATTGGGGAGAGGATTTTAGTGGTTTTGAGGTTGAGGGGGGAGTACCGTCAACTTCAAGTTCACAGAGAGGGAAAAGAGGCAGCTACTTCGTCTGTAGTTGATGAAGAAGATGAAGTTGAAGAAGATGACGAGCAATATAATAATGATAGTGGAATACAAGAATTTGACAATCTTGTACAAGAATAGGATGCTCATTTCGTGCTTTAATTGATGCTACTCTTGACAATCTTGTAGAAGAATATGATGCTTATTTTGTGCTTTAATTGATGCTACTCTTTAGTTTTTTAATTCAAGTATTGAACATTTGCTCACAATTACATGTGTTGTCTATGCCGTATTTATTTTAATTTTTTTTAAAAAAAGTTCCGCTTCACTTCAAAAAAGCGGGCGCTTCGCTTCTCGCTTCTCGCTTTTCGTGAAATGGGGGTTGTCGTTTTTCCTCGCTTCACGCTATTTTTAACACTGCTAAGAGGTCAAAGGTTCAAATCTCAACTAGCACATTTTTCTTTTGCAAATATTTGAGAGAGCCTTTGTGGTTAAAAATTGTGATGAAGTAGAATTGAACTCAGGACCTTTTCTAACTTAAGACTCAACAAAACCAATAGATTAAGGCCACTTCTTGTCTAAAAGCATGATAATCAAAGTTACATTCCAGTTCTTCTATAAATTTTGACACCGCTTACAAAAATTCTTGCGTACGCCCCTGACAGTAAGATCCATATTGGTAGCAGCAAATGACACTTCTATTCCAATTATTCTCAGTGACCTGTTGGAAGTTATTTACTTTATCAGTTTAACATATGATGCACTTGTGTAAATAAGGTTTTTCCACGGATGTATAAGACGCAGTTAACTCATAAAGACCAGCTCCGATCACACCTCTAGAAATCTACTTTTTTTTGTCCTTTCTAATTGTTCCAAGCACTGAGAAAATTAGGGAATCAACTACCAACGTGGTGAGTTCAAACTAGGAAACCATACAAACTGTTATGAAGTGTTTTGCATGCCCTATTCATGCATTGAACTTCATCGCAACACTCTGGTTGGTCCAAGGAAAGGAAGCAAAAGTGAAACACATCAATTTACTCTCCACCTGGAACTATTTGTCGTCGTCAGCTTGTACACCCATGGCATTGAGGGGGCCAAAGCACCCTGGTCGAGCTTCTAAGGTTAAATTGGTTTGTGGGTCATTTGCTTTGTACATTTTGACAATTACTCTAATGCTAGTTCACCTCCGGATACCATGTTATGACTTCGGAAACCTTGTTATGACTTCTCTTTCTCACAATTGATAAGATTTTTTGGATATCCCACGACATCAGAGGAAGGAAATATGACTAACAAAAATTAGGACGACAATTAAATATATTTTTCCTCCTTCCACTAAATCTTGGATGGTAACATAAATATCTCCTTTATGTAATCCTACCAGGGTGAGAGAATGATTCTTATGCCCTACTTTATTTTCCACCCCTTCCCTTTTTATCCCAACCAGACAGTGTAAAAGTTAAATCATTTCCAAAATACAATCCAAAACCAATATAGGATACAGAATGCAAGTTCAATATGATCTTCTCAACCTCAATCAAGCTTAAAATTATACACACTTCATTTAAAGCTACCCATTACTTTGGCGCGTACGTGAAAGTGATTGTCGACGATAGGGCATCAGTCGAGAGGTGCAACAGTTCACTAGCTTTACAAGAGTTTCATCTAGCCAATCATCTATATTGCAAAAAGAACCTCTAGGAAATTGTAAATTCAGAATACAACAGTTGACTTCACAGCCCGGACAGGGATGCCATACCAGAAGATATCCATATCCAAAATCGACATTCCAAATCCAATCTCAAAGGCCTAGAATTTCTTAGGCTTTTTCTTAATACGCCCGTAAAAGCAGTTAATTTAAAATGCAAGGGAAAATGAAGAGAACCTTTAAGTATGTAAGCTTGAAGAAGCTTAGGATCGAGCTGAAGTGCCTTATCACAATCCTTAATAACATGCTTGTGAAGCTCCAATTGACTATAGCAAAATGCTCGGTTACTGAAACAAATTACCCATTTTTTTATTCAGAAAATCAATCAGCTCATTCATAAATCTCCAAAAATCTAATAAAGCTCATTCAAATTTTAAAAAAAAAAAGGTTATAAAAGAGGTAGCGGACCAGATGTCTTGAATGACGCAACTCTGAGCAAGAAGTGAATCGAGAATTCGAATTGCTTTGGACCATTCCTTGGAGCTACAAAGCTTCGCCAGTTCAATCCTCTCTGTAACTTTTGACGTCATCGGCGGCTCCAAATGGATCGGAAACAGCTGAATTGATGCGATTGATTTTTTCTTCAGTTGTGTTGTGAGCTACTGAATTTCTGATCTTGCGGCTGTAACTGTTTGGTGTTTTTTTTTAAAAATTTTCTTTTACGGTGTGGTGGTAGAGAACGGAGGGGTAGAAAGGAGAAAACGAAGATGAATGAGGAAACGGAGAGGAAAGAGGTACTTTGGGGAAGTGGTGAGGGATTAATTATGGATTACACGTGTCCAAGAGCCCGCATGTCTATTGGCTCAATGTTCTCGTCATTTCTCACTCTTTTTTTTTTTAGAGAAAATATAAATTATTTAACTATAATTAAGTAAGTACTCCCACCATTTCAATTTAGATCATATAGTTTGGCTTGACACAAAATTTAAGAGAAAAGAAGAAGATTTTTGAGATAGGGTAAGCTCTACAAGATGGTGGTTAGACCGACTATATTGTATGGAGCAGAGTGATGGCAAGTCAAAAAGTCTCATGTCATGAAAGTAGCGAAAATGAGGATGTTAAGATGGATGTGTGGGCATACTAGGTTGGATAGAATTAGGAATAAAGTTATTCGGGACAAGGTGGGAGTGGCCCTGTGGAGGCAAAGATACGTGAGCCAAGGTTGAGATGGTTTGGGCATGTTAAGAGGAGAAGCACAGATGCCCCAGTAAGGAGATGTGAGAGATTGGCCTTGGGAGGTGAGAGGAGCGGTAGAGGTAGGCCAAAGAAGTCTTGGGGAGAGGTGATCAGGCGGGACATGGCGCAACTTGAGCTGACTGAGAACATGACCCTAGATAAAAAGGTGTGGAGGTTGAAGATTAGGGTAGAAGGTTAGTAGGTAGTGGTGTGTTTCCCTTTGTCTTCTCTAGTTCGATAGTATTAGTTCTAGTATGGTACTTTTTTTTTACCTTAGTTTGCTATATTCGCATGTCTTGTTCCGTTATTACTTGTCATCAGTAATTCCGTAGTTTGCTAGCAGTACTTCGTTCATATTCTCGTGTGCTGCCTTGGATTTATTTTTTTCTAAATATACTATCTTGCTATTACTTGTTATCGGTCCCCTTTCATATTCTCTGTTGCTATCTTCGGTTTAGTTTTCTAATTATTTGTTTTGTGTTATAAAACAATAAAAGAAGAAGCAGAGTATTGTAGAGAAAAGTAGAGGGAGAGAATTCTTATTGATTTGGGATCAATTACAATGGAATAGAACCCTCTATTTATAGGGAGAGGCTGACTTAGCCACCAAGTAATAAACCCTAGAATCTCTCTAAATATAGACATTCACCATAAATAAAATTCTATTTATAACACTCCCCCCTGAATGTCTATTCAACAGATAATGTGCCTCGTTAAAACCTTAACTAAAATAAAACTCAGTGGGAAAGAAATTCTAGAGAAGGAAAAAGAGTACACATATTTAATAATACGCCTTTCAGTTGCCTCGTTAAAAACCTTGCAAGAAAAACCCAGTGGGACAAAATCTTGTAAGGGAAAAAGAGTACAACGCGTATTAACTCCCCCTGATGAGAGCATCAATTCACATCTTTAAGCATTTGCATTCCAATCTTGTGCACCATCTTCAAAAGATCTTTGGTAGAGATTTGATAAACAAGTCAGCCATATTAACTTGAACGAATTTGTTTCACCTTGAAATCATCATCCCTAATAGATGTATTGTCTTCACATGATCTTGTCGGAATCGTCAATTCAATATCTTCACATATAGGTGAAAACTCTTGCTATCATATTATCATGCCTATAGTTATAGCAAGATACATTTGTGCACAAATTGTACTGAGGAAGTGGTACTTCAAGATCAAGAATTGTATATGCTTCAAGCAACTTAAATCCTTCATGGATTGTCATATAAATTAAGTCATATAAGCCATATAATAGACTTTAGATGCATATCAAGTTTTCATGTCATGCTAGACATATAAGATATCGAAAACTGATTGCACATATCATTGACTTTATACTTTCAAGTGTTTGAACTACATGTCCAAAACTACATGTCCTCATATGAAACCAAATTCTACTTGAATTGTTTCTTCAGACTTAAGATCCTCATATATATTTAGCGCTATTATCGATGTCGTCGACGAACATTTTATATCGGTTCCAACCTCCTTATTTTTCTTATAAAGACATAACATAGAGATCTCTTCATTCATATATTCAGGTACCTGAATCTCTCATGAGATTTTATGAAGTGTTATGTCATGTGATCTTATAGATCACTTGCCTCCTTTATTATCATCATTTTGATCATTTGCTCATCTTCTTTATTAAGAAGTTTATTTGAAACCGATTTGTCTATACGCTGTAAGCGTACCATAGACTTTGTCCTTCTAGGACTTATTCCAGTAGGAGCATTTGCAGTGAGATATAATTACTTTCTTTGGGCCAGCAAATGCGTCTGGCATACTTTGCAATAAATTGCATATGAATTATCCTTTTATGAACTTCAAGTTCATATTATTTTATTCGGGGATCTAGATGTATAAATGATAATTCATTCCATGTAACTTTTTCTCAACTGTTTATCATGTCTCCCCCTCATGTTAGAAAAACTAACTTGTTTCCTCAACTTTGAGAACACATCTTTGTGCGTTATGGTGTTAATCAAAATATACACCGCACATCAATAATAATGAGATAGAATTATTTGGTTCCTGACCCTGAAACCACTTGTGAGAGGAGAATGTAATATACTTTCGTATATAACCTATATCAAACTGATATAGATAACTTTGTTCTCATAAGCAATAGTTTAGCTATTAAGTGGAGGCACTCAATAAACCATTTTGCTAAACCAACTGTGATGTAAACCAACTTATCAAGAAGAACAATCTTGAATAAAAAATCTGAAAATTATGCTCTATATTAAATTATTGAGCAAGTTACTCGCAAACACCAGGTTGCGGGTCAATAATAATTGCACATGTAACCATCTCATAGATGCATCTTATGTGGTATACATGGCAGGTGAATGGGCCCATATTCACCTTTGATATTTCCAGCATTCATGGGATTTAATCCCAATTTTAATTGGTCTATTAATTAATGAGAACAAGCAATGTAAGAGAATTCGTAAAGAACTTTCTAGTTCTTTAATATTTACCCATGTGAATTCTCTTTTATTTTTGCACATCATACTTGAATTAACATGGCTAAACCAATTATGCCAACTGGATAAATTATCAATATTGATAAACTTCAGGTTTACACCATGATGTGTGCAATTATGAATAAACTCCAAGTTTATTATGATATGGGTTTTTATATCAATAAATATCCACTTCATTGTGGTATTCTTTTGTTTATGTAGTACAAATTGGAGAAGAAAGCGAGTAGCTTTTCACATACATATTATCCCGCTACAAGTTTGTACGTAATAGAA